TACTACATTCTTCTCCAAGTTCATAGCAGCAAATGACGCAATGCTCACACAAATCTGAATGATGAATTACCCAGTATTGAATTACATTAGAAATCATTGCAGTTTATCTTCAAATCTTATTCAAATATGGTTTAAGGGTGTAATGACGTATCCGTTTCTAGACGACCTGGTTGCTATGCTAGCCGATGCTAGCCAATCGGAGAAGCGGGCACGCGCGCGTTTTCATGGCGGGAAAATTTTTTACTTCCGGTGGAGAGGTTTTTGTTATAATCTTCGGTGCAAAACATTAAATGGACGTGTTTTTTTCAATATTTATGTTATTCACAGCCTCCTCTTCATAACCAAGCATGGGTTTGGCGAAAAATTAAAAAATACCAAAGTTATTGTCATTTTTCGCTTATTTGTGGCATTTAAAAAATCGTAAAAAGCTTATTTGGCAATCATTCTAAAAACGCATGCTTGGCTTTACGGACTTAAATCTAAAGATTAATTTCATCCATTTTAAATCATTTAATATACTTTGCTTGATGAAATTATAGCATTTTTTCGTATTAATGACGTCACGCGATGATCATAGAATGTGTTATTTTTGTTTGGGAAGGCTTAATACTTAATACAAAAGCGATTTTACTTTTGTTTGTCATTTTAGAGAACTACTGAATTTCCCTAGCAACGGATATGTCAGTACACCCTTAATATAAGCCTTTCAGGGAATACAGGGTTAGTTTCAATTCAGAGAAAATGTAGAATATTCGAGCTATTATAATGAAAGCATTTGTTCATAGTTAAATTAGTTTTCTGTGGTCATCAAGTAGCAATAGGAATGTATCATGTGATTGGTTTGTAGAACGGACAAAAAATAGATGCTCTTCCAATGCGAAAACCTTCTGCTCTACCCTGATGCAAATCCTGGCTAGGAACCTGACACGATCCTAACCAGGATCTTATTAGGATCCTGTATAAAATCTTATTCAAGATCCTACAGGATCCTGTTTAGGATCCTATTGATCCTACTTAGGATCTTACATAAGATCCTGTGTAAGATCCTATTCCTATGCAGGCTTCTGCTCAGGATCCTAGTTATGATGCTGTTTGTACACAGGATCCTATTTAGGATCCCATTCCTATATAAGATCCTACAGGATCCTATAGAATCTTACAGAAACTTACAGGATCCTGTCAAGGATTTCCACCAGGGTAACGGAA